ATGCCCAGCGTGAAAGGGAGCCTCTTCCCACTCGGGGACACGGCAGCCCAGCGCCCACCCCTGCACGCCCACCGCCCTCGGGGCGCAGAGGCCACTGATGCACAGGCCTCGTGCTGCGCGGCTGCCCGCCGTACCCGGCCTCCCGTGAGGCCAGGGGTACCCTACCTCCCCTCTGACAGGCGGGTCGTGGCCTTTGCGCGATGGGGTCTGGCGGCGTGGGACGCCAACGCAAGGTCCTGCGTGGGCCACACGGCATGGGAGTCCCCGCCTCGGGTGTGCCGCGATGCCCGCGCAGGACCAAGGCACGCTTGCTGCCAGTCCGGGCAAGCGAGAGCTTACCTTATGTCAGAGCATCGCTTCTTTCCCTGCTGATGGTCGGCTTGCCGCGCCGCCCAGAAAATATTGCAGAGAGTTTTTAATGGAGGTCTTGCTGGGAGAATAAAGCGCTAAGATGTCAAAGGCTTGACTTTTCATCTCATTAGTACTGTTTGGGAAGTGGACTATCAGATTTTCTTTCCTAGATGAACCAATTCCAAGGGTTGTATGTACAAACACGTCACGGCCATCAGAGCGCTATGGACAAACTGGGATAAAACTCCGTGTTTTACTTACTCTGACAACCTTGGGAACAGACCTCTCTGCTTTTCTGGGAGAAACAAGGGGTCAGGAGGGGGATTTTGTCTGAAATCCGCTGATGTGCAAGTCCTTCCACTGACTTTGAAGAATACTGTATGTGATTCGCTGTATACATAGTATCTGTAAAGACACTTAACGCACATAGCAGCTAATACAAGAGGAGAAGATAAACATACATCTTTGCAAATGGAAGAAAAACGTGTTTATAATACGTTTATTCTTACCGCTACTTAACAGCACTGAAAGAGGCAGTGTCCTTGGGCCCCATTTTCCACACTTTTGTCAGATTGTTTTACGCTATAAGTACCCATTTACTTGCAAATTGCATGACTGGATGATTTCAGCCCTACACCACTTCCTATAGAGCATGCCTTCAGGTCATCAGAAGGGGCAGAAAAGCTCTCTGTACCCTTCAGAATTGCAAACACCAGAGAATAAGTAGGAAACATTTCTTACTGCTAGTCCAGGTCTAGCTGATCTTACTTGGTTTCGCCCAGGTTCTGACAGGTTCCCAGAGTTGGCTCCCATAGCGAAAGCTGGTCCAGCTAGAAATTAAGGAGCATAATAAAAATAATAATGAGATCGATGATGCATTCCATGATTATGAAAGAAGATGTCTGATCAACGATCCCCTGATTGACAGGAAGTCCCCAACCACATAATCCCGAACTCCTCCTGGGAGGAAAAGGGATCGTGCAGCTGAAATGGTCATTCATCAGCCAGTGCTCCCTTGGCACACAGTCCTGCTGTGTGCTCGCTGGCCTGAGTTGTGGCTGTGATATGAAACTGCCTCCTGTAAAAGCCTGGTGAGAATTTGCAGCAACTTAAAAGCTCAAGGCTTCAGTGGAAGGGATGCTCTTCAATGCATGCCCTTTGCTCCCCGGTTGCATGCAGCATATTTCATGCAGAGCGTTGTTCCCTCAGCCCCAAATCCCTCAAATCCCTCAAATCGAGGGCAACTGGGAGAAGCCATAGCCCAAAGGCAGGCTGCAGCCAGAGGAAAGTTTGATGACTTTGTCTTTTGCCTTCCTCGCTTGTCCCTCAGCACACAGAAATTACATTTAATTGATGGCAAGGGTTTCATTAGCTTTTTGTGGTCTGTGACTAGTGGCATATAATTAGGAATCACCTGCAAAAATTGGTTTGAAACAGTTAAACACGGTGCAGATTCATAAGCACAAGATGTTGATTTTACAAAAAGACACTGGGTAGCGTGTCCGAGGCTGAAGGCGATGCCTAAGGCGGGAGGGGTGAAATAGTGCTTGTGGGCAGCTGGGCAGGCCCGCCTTGGGGCCAGGGAAAACCTCTCTGAGCATCTTGGGGTGCTGCAGGTCAGCAATGACCCCCCCTCTTCCCTTGCTTTCCCATCTGGACTCCAGTTCTCCCCCCCTCCCCAGGCCAGGTTTGACAACGGCTTCAGTGGGAATTTTGTCCGAGGGGAGAGCACCAGATTGGCTCTCCCTGTCCCCGTTCCCCATCTAATTTTAGCACCATCATCTTCTGTTTCCCCTCCCCATCTTTCCTTGACGTCTCTGCTTTGTTCTCCACTCTTCCCTTTCATCTCCTCTTTCCTTCAGTGGCTGGCACAGTTACCTTGTCTGGCTCCCCCACAGCCTCCACCTTCCCCCAGGCCTCCCATCTTTCCTGCCGTCCCCTTCAGCAACTCCTTCCAAATTAAGCAGGTGACCCACTGGATGTAGGAGATGTCTCCTCGAGCCAGGGGTGTCCAGGACTCAGCACACCTGCTGTTCCCAGCTTGCCTGGCATCACAGCGCTGCAGAAACAGTGCCCATCTCCTCAGAGGGGCCACAGCCTCTTGCCTATGTGGAATAGCTCTAATATAAAGATAGTTCAGCCCAATTTGCTTGCCAGGGCCAGGGCATGTTCCTCATTCATACATGATGCTAATCCCAGCTACACAAAAATGAACACGTTGCCACTGTCTTGTCCTCTCTCACAGCAGCAATGGTGCTTTTTGTTTGTGCACAGGAATAACTCCACAGGGCTGGAAACACCGAAGCTCATGGATGCTGAAGGAGAAGCTCGTGTTGAGGGTAAGGTCTAGGGAAGAAAATCTGACTTTCATCACTGCAATACTCAGTAGCTATTTCTCTGACACTTTCTGGCGCCTTCTCCATGTTGATAATTCCCTGTGGGGAGGGAGGGGTTTTTCCACTCATGTCTTGTTCACACTCTCTTGCAAAATTTTCTTTCAGTTGCAACCCCTCTAGAGCAATATGCATCCAACGAGCTGATAGAAACTGCAGCAAGCCTGGGTTCAGGGGTCTCGCTTTGCCTTATCTCATGCGATGCGTCTGTAGCACCACACAGCTGTTACATGCTCTACCTTGCGAAGACTTACACGAGTGATTAACTTAAACCAAACTGCTTGTCCCACTGACAGCAAAGGGACTGGCCCAAGAGCTCATTTTGAAGCACTAAGAAATCTTTACACAGCAAGCCTTTTCTTCACCTTCCTTATTGCAACCTCTGGGGAAATTTGTGCCATTAGAAAAACAAGAGCTCAACACACCAAAAACTTTTCAACCAACTTGGTGTTTTAGCTGCTCTCAGGAACCCCCAAATAATTTCCTGATAAATCTCTTTTACTGAGAGGTAAAAGAAAACTAATTTCATTTTAACTGGGACATGACCATACCTAGCACCTTCTTCAGCACAGACATTTCTTAAACAGCTAGCAGCAGTCAAATGGTATTGAAATGTAGAAAAAAAGAGTCCTTCACCAATACAGCTTGCAGTACAAGAGACTGGTTTACATTTGCCAGTGTGCCAACAACAGGTCCTTAGTCTCTTCTGGGTTTGCTTTTAAGATGAAGAGAAAATCTAAAGCCCAAAGCATAGCCCTATGCTGGGAGTACAGGTAGTTACACTCCAGTTAGACAAGGCTGTCTAAGCCTGGTGTGCTCCCTGAAGTGTTTAGCCGGGATTTAGGAGAGCAAGGACGGCCCCCCCCCGCCTCAGAGGGAATGGCTGGACAGCCCAGGGGGCTGCTTTCTTCCCCTCTCTGTCACAGTCTGGGATTCTCTCCTAGGTTAAAGACAAATACCAAAACTTTCTGCATCATTAAATAGCACTTAGCAATACGTAGCCTGCAGATTGCTATTTTTATCAAGTACTCGGTATTTGCACTTCCTCTGAAATCTCAGTAGGGTATCAATATTGCTGAAGTTGGCTTCTGCGGCCAGCGTGCACGCAGGCTATGCCTGGAAAGATGCATCTTTGAGTTGGCAGTGGTTACCAGTGAGTGATTGATAATGGGCAAACTTCTTGTTCAGCTAAACGGGTTTTGGCACAGGATCACTTGAAATATAACAACCACCAAAAAAATCAGTCTGTTGAATAGCATCCACCCATACCAGATGTGCTGACTGGAGAATATGCCAAATTCTTCAAAGCAGTACACTTGACAGCAGTCCTAGGAAGAAGTGATTTTTTTTCCCCCAATATATTTACAAACAAGGAGCAAAGTAACTGTGGAGTGGGATGGATAAGATAAAATATTTTTGTGAATATTGGTCTAAATTTTTTAATGAGTTTCCCTCTGCTATGTTGAATTTCCAGTGGGTGTGGGAACAACTGGCTTTTGCTGGCGCAAATGCCTATGACAAATAAACCCCCCATATTGCACGTTTGAGCATTTGTAAAATGGACTTTTAAGAGCATGTACAAAAACACTGATGATTGAAGCGATCGCAGGCTAATCCATCCGAGAGAAGAAACGTTAAGTTTGTTTAACCAACTGAAGCAGACCCAGAACAATTTGATTATTTATATTCACGATGAGTATTTTTATAAATGAGCCTTCACTTGGACTTTTCAGTTTGGATCTTTTTGAATGCATTGTTAACCATGAGCAAAAGGGGCAAGATTCAGACACTTCTCAGGCTGTAGCACAGACAAGCTTCCTTTCTGGAGTGAACCTACACAAAAGCACAAGTGCAACTGATGTTAGGTCAAAAGTGGGGGAAAAAAATAATCAGGGGCTGCTTTTCGATTGCAGCCCCTAGGAGGGAGAGAGCATCTTGCAGAGTGCTGGAAGGCTGCACAGATGGAGTCAGTGCAGCTCACATTTATCTGCGTTCAGCCATTGCTCCGGCTGCTGAGGCACCAGTTCCTCTTGATCTGACAGGTGAAGGCAG